TTACTGGAATATATCCGATATAGAAGAGAGAATGAGAAATATTTATTCAGGAATCGAACATTAATGCTAAAGTCGAGTACAAACCATATTATGACGGTGCTGTCAAGCAAGACCTATGAGTTCGTATATACATAGTTTGGACATATCCTAAATTGTCTCGCTATTCCAATAATTATTGGCAAAATCATAATCCCCTTAGATTGACTCTTGTCAATAATTTTAACAAAGAGAAAAAAAATATTATTATGATAGCTGTGAAAAAATAATTCTGTCTTATTTTTTAAATGTTCAAAAGTGTATAAATAAATAATAATAAAATTATAACATGCTATCAAAATAAACATATTTTTTATTCAAAAGCAATTCATATTGTTCTTATTTCATTGCAAACTATCTTAGTACCAATACTCGAAAGTCCTATTTAAATTAATTACCCATTTCAATAAAAGGCAAATGACATTACAAAAACATTGAAATGTACATATTTTAGAAATCCCATTCAGATAATGTATTTTCACGGCGTACTCTCAGGGGGGCACGGCAGAACTGTCTTGCAAACGAGTTAATGAAGATTGAGTAAGGTAGAGAAAGGCATTTATACCTAAGAGATATTTTACTAAGTATTTTTAAGTCAAGTTTCTTTTTATTCACTTAATATATTTCCCTAAAAAAATTGATATAGATAAGGTATGAGTGAGGTTACCGGAGGCCCAATTACCCTCCCCTTCCCCAATCTCCCCAATTCCTAATTCCCCAACGATCCTAAAACTCCTAATCCCCAAAAGGCCAGTAACGCACTTGTAACGCCTCTGGTGTTCCAGGTGTCCATGGGCGACGTCGATTGCTTACCATCAGGTGATCCGTCTGCTCGTTTATCGGCTTATGCCATAAAAAAATGAAACAAGAAAACTTTCGTTCAGTCGGTCAATTAAATAATAAAAAGTATTTACACACATATTTTTCCAAAGAGAAAAAAAACAATGCTGGCAATGCACCTGTGACTCCTCTATTGCCGCGGGTGTCAATAGGCGGCGCTGATCGCTTATCATCAGGTGATCCGTCGACTCGTTTGCCTGTTATTCCATAAAAAAGGCATTAGGATATAAGTGAATTAAAGTTTAAAAAATGAGGCTGTCTAATTGGGTACTTGCCAACTAGTCAAATTCAATACTTTTTTTAAACTGTCAAAAACGACAGCTTTCTATGAATTTTGTACGAGATTGTGTATTGTGTCGTCACGTTTTTTAAGCGTCAAACAGCATACATATTTATTTCTAAAAAACTAGCTGGAAAAATACTAAAATTAAGTTGGTCATAAAATCAATGAATGAAAGTGTGATTATTTTTTAATATTTTATTGTATTGAACAGTCGAAATTATTTATTTTTGATGAAGGCAAGTACCCAATTCTCTATATCGACTACCCATACGTCAGTATACGGTATTTAAAATAAATCTACAGTCAAGATTCTTTTAACCATCGAAAAAGTCCTGTAATTACCTGTATCTGTATTAGCAAGGAAATGAAAAAAAAACCTATTGTCTTATTTTTTTCTCTCTACTTACTCTAAACTTACTTCGCTTTCAGTTACATTTACTACACATATTCTGTTGAGACTGTTTTTACTTTTTAACCACCAAAATAACCCTACAGAACCACAAACGACATAATATTCAAATGTAAATTATCCTTCAATTTTTCACCGTCGCATGGTTAACGCGATTATGCACGGAGTGTCCATATGTCGCTAGGGGGGTGGTCACCCTTTTACCCCATCACAGTGTGGTTATCGTAGCCTTTCCGATGCATTGAACAATTTCAATGGCTTTTTATACGATGCTTTGAAAAGTTAGTTTTTTTTTATATTTTTTTCAATTTTTATTCAAGTTTCACTGAACTGAAGTTCTTTTGTAATTTTTTTGGCTTTTTCGGTGTATCAAAGAGGTGTGGGGTTGAAGGCGTTCGTTTATTTTTTTTTGAAATTTGTGGATTTATAGGTGATTTCTAATTTGGTCTGGATATTGCATTATTTTGTGAAGAACACAGTAATAAAATATGCACTAAATAGAGACTTACTGCTCATGGATTTAAATTACTGACAGTACAATTATGTTATTTTTTTAATAAACTCCAAGAGAATGAATATTCACTTGTCGAGTGAAGTTAACAAAACCAAATGATCATTTCTTACTATCGAACCAGGGACATCGTACATAGGACTTTGTAAACGTTATATTTCAATCTATAAGTACAAAGTTCAAACAGAAACTTTTGGAAAAAGGTACTGAAAAAAGTACATAAAAGAAAATTCAGGTGCTGTAGAGGAAGACAAACAGACATTCATTTCCGGCGCCACCTAGCGGCGGGGGTCGTCAACTACACAAAGTACGCCACTTCCGGTTAATCTTCTGAAAGCAAGTCGCTCTTGAAGATTTTCCTTTTTTGTTAAAAAAACGTGTTTTTGACTTGAATTTGGGGATGTTTTGACACATTATGGTAAAAGGGGATTGTCAATTTGTGTTGTCTGTTTACTTTTATGCCTTTACAGTAAATATCACATTGAGCTGATGTTTAAATAAAGCTTTTATTTGTAAGTACATAAAGACGAAAGTTATATGAGGTAGCAAGTGGTTATCTTTTGTTGGTTTATACCTTGACAATCAAATTTAATTATCAAAAATTTACCTTACATGTAAATATAAGGTAAATTTTTGATAGGAGAGGTCACCATTCCCGATCATATGATTACTGATATGATCGGGAATGGTGACCTCACGGGTCCGGCTCTAATCTGGGCCATGATGCGGAGTGAAAAGGACTGGGATACCGTCTCCTCGTTTTGCAAAGCAGTCATGCTAGCAAAGAGGAAGCGGGGCGCGTGAAGCAGCGAAACGTTGCCTCCTCACAACCCAGCCGTCGCGAAGAACACTCCGGGCGTCAGGGATGACGAGACGATCTCCGGCCACGATAAGCATGGGCCTGCATGGGGTAAGCAGAACTAGACCTAAGCGTACGTACGTACGAGGTACCTCAAAGATCCATCAGACCACTACGGATGCCCAATAGGGCTGATGCCGTACAGGGCCGCGGAGAACGTAAAAGGTTGCCTGGGGTTCGACTCAAAGCGCAGAAGTAGGAACAGGGTCCCTCCCGCCTCATCCAGGCGGGAGATTAAAAATCTACTGTTATAAGCGCCCTAATAATTTGCATCAATATAAAAAGTACGTGACAGTCCACTGAAATATATCGCAGACTGTCGTCCTCTTATATAACCGTCTCTACATAAGACAGTTTGCCCTTACCTCCAAGTTAGGCAGAGGAGGATATGGAGACCATAGTTTAAAAGGTTCTGGTTTATTAAAGACTGTAGCAACCTGGTCTTCATTAATGTGTAATCCCTGTCGGTTGTTATGAGACCTACAAGAAAATCAAATATAGTGATAACTATTTTCCACTGCATATGGAAATGTGTGGTTCGTTTGCACGGTTGACGTTGTGGCTACCGCGCAACGTGTAGCCGGTTCGATTCCGGCACGGAGCAACTCTTTGTGTGGTCCGAGTTTCCGGAATTGTTGTTTAGGGACTGGGTGTTATGTATACGTGATATGGTATATCTGTAAACGCACCCACGATAAAGCAGAAAATAAAAGTGATAGTCTGTGGTATCCTAGCAAAGTTTAAAAAAAAGTTGGATGTGTACAAGTCCACACAAGTGACATTAAAGGCGTGCAAAAATAGTAACATACACTTTGACCTCATTTAAGATTACATAATTTTCAATACTGGGTAAAAATGAGGAACTTAAATAACCCTATTGTCAATAAATATAATTACAACTTATAGTTAACTAAAATCAAAACAGTGAATAAAACAATGAAGAAGAAAAATCCCAAAAGAAAAATTATTGATACTCGAGTTATAAAAATCAAGACTCAAAAAATATTTAACCATAATTTTTAACAAATAAACGTGCATCATTTTACCTTAAAGTATGAGATCATAATCATAATTTAATTATATTTCCAAAATTTGATCTTGAGTATCATATTTTGCGTTCTCGAGTCTCAAAATATACTTAATACCGTCTCACAGGGTTGTCTACGTTCGAGGGCCCTACAGCGATATTACGTAGTAATTCAAAACATATTGGTTGTTAAGTACACCTGCAGACTATATTGCCCCTCCACCTTGAATAAACAAGTTAGGAGATAAAATAACAAACCTTACTGTACAAGGTTTTCTATATATTTCGTTTTCGTCCCGCGGCAAAACAGCTTGCCATAAAGGAGTACTTTCGGCGTATAAAGGTAAAGTCAAAAAAATAAAGACGTGTTTTTTTTAGTTTAATTTTTCATGGAAATAGGCACATGAAACACTAGACGTAAATTTGTAGGCACTATTCGCATTGCAAGTGCGACCCGACAAGAACTACCTCATCGAGAATTACATGGCGTGATGTTTTGATAATGTACTATAAGTTCGTATACGCCTTCGTAGTTTCCTTTGCTCGGCTGTAGAGCCGAGCAAAGGATCTACAGAGTTCGTGTTATGACTGACAATTTTGAAAGAACTTTGATAGTATTATTATTATCTTTTTTATGACCAATTAGGCCATAAGTTCAACTGCCGGATAAGGGGTCTCAGGTTCAAGTCTAAAGTCGCGCAAAGTACTATTGGGATTTGACAATAGTAGTTCAGTCTCTGGCTAGTAGTATACACCTAAAGATGATTTTGAAACAGTCTTGTTTTAAAGGGGCAAAATCATTCACTGAATCCTTCCGCCTTAGCTGAGGCGAGAGTCAGACTCTTACTGACGAAGACCCACCCATTTCCTACTCCTGTTTCGAACCGGAGCCCCGGCAGCCCTACCACTAACTACTATTTTTAGACAACAGCCACTAATATTTTCGGACAATCCCTTCCTTTAATATATTTTTTATTTAATACTAACCGACTGACTCCATGATTCATCTTATTATCAATGCTTCGTAAAACAAGGACCGGCAATTCATCATTATCGCTACGTCCGTCGACATTAATAGAAGCTTTTGTATATCGTGTTAAATTAATTCTTATTTTAGTTTTAATATTCACATTTTAATTTGAAATGGAATTCATGTTTGAATAGTGTGTTCTATCTGTGAAGTGAAAATCGTTGAACAATTTGAGAAATTGCGAAAATGGATTTTAAAATTATTTTTTGTAAGTATTTTTGTTTATAGTACTGTTATTATATCTTCTCCTGCCTCCAGGTTTTTCCTATGGAAATTGTTATAAACTACAATTCTGTACTTTATCGTGAAACAATCGCTTCTCTTGAGCCATTTAGGCATAATTTTGAAAACGGACAATTTCGTTAATTCGTCAGTAGCCTATGAATGCGCACTGCTGAGCAAAGCCTCTTCTCACACGGAGAAGGGTTGAATACTAATCACTACGCTTGCTCAATAAATTAGGGTTGGCGATTTTACACATATTATAATTAGAAATTATAAGTCTAGGTTTCCTCACGATGTTTTCCTTCACCGTTTGTCAGTGGTATTTAAATAATCTTAGAAAGTACATATAACTCGGAAAAAGTCACATTAGTACTTGCCGTTGGTAGGTTTCGAAACCGCACCCTCATGTATGAGACGCGCGTTTTAAACCTCCGAGCCATCACGACATTTTCACCTTTATCGAATTAGTAGCTTCTGTTAGTGGCTTAGCCTACTTTATAAAGTGTATAATTATAATGTAAGTCTTGATTATGTCTATCAAATTTTCATTCAGAGCCGTTCAGTCATTTTGACATAAATTCTTCCAAACATACAATTATAATTATGACTTCAGATAAGGACATCATTTAATTCAATATGATAAGGCCGAGTCAAATTAATTAATGCATTATGTTATACACAATTATAATAATATGTGTCATATATAATTTTGTACTTTATTTTATATTTTAGTCCTTATATATGTAGTTTGTCTTTTTTATTTTCCTTCGTATTGTTTTACTACCATATCAACCAATATTTGAATAGTAGAAAAACCTGATAAAGTTCACCATTTTAGTAAATGCAGTTGTATAATCGTTAAGCATTAAATATAGCTTCCCTTTCCCTTTTTCAGATATAACAATAAACAATTTTAAAAGGCGTGTCCATGATACCTACATATAACAAAAATCTTAGTTCTTAAATACTAATGGAAAATTTCGAAATCATAGACCAAAAGTGTACCCGACTAGAGATCGAATGAGAAAGTTATAATATTCAATTTGTATCATTCCAGGTGTCGTATTCTTGGCGTTCTGCAGTTCAGCATCGGCTGATTGTTCTATTATAAAACGGTACACCAGTTGCAACTACACAGTCTTCTGCGAGCAGACTCCAACATCAGTCGGCAATCCATCATGCGACAATGACCCTTACGTCATTTTCATCATCACCAAATCTCACCTAAGCTACCTTACCACTGGCTACTTCTCTTCAACTAATTTCGACTCCCGAGTTCGTGAAATCATAGCAAAAGGCAACTCTTGGAACATCATCGATGGTTCAGGATTCAGATATTACCCAAACACCATCAAAGTGGACATTTCCAATAGCAGTATCGAAAAAATATCTAATGAAGCCTTCAGAAACCTGATACATCTCGAATACTTAAATATTTCCAACAACTGGATTAGAAGACTGAATCCCAAATCGTTTTATACTTCAGATAGTGTTGCAAATGCAGTAAAAATATTAGATTTATCCAACAATATGTTACAAGAATTGTCAAGTGAATTGAATCTAATGCCTAATTTGGTTAAGCTGTACTTACAAAATAACATGTTGTCCAGTCTAACAGACGACTCTTTTGTTAATTTAAAACATTTAGAACACCTTAATTTAAGAAATAATCGGTTACAGAATTTAAATTTAACTTTAATGAACTTAAAAATGTTGAAAACAATTGATATTTCTCATAATTCTCTTCTTAAACTGTCGGGCTATGAAATCAATCGTATGGCTGGTTTGGTTTACTTTAATGCGTCTCACAATATGATCACTTCTGTAGAATCGAATTGCTTCAACCAAGCAAAATATTTAGAATCCATTGATTTTAGCTATAATGGCATCAACACAACTATTGAAAGTGTATTATTTGAAGCCAATTCTCGATTACATTATTTGAACTTTTCTTATAATTTTATCAGAGGCATACAGGATAACTCGTTTATAAACACAAATTTATTTGACATTAACTTGGAAAATAATAACATCACTGGGACTTTAAATGAAAATACTTTCAAAGGCATTATTGATATTTCTAATTTAGATCTATCTCGTCAAAACATAGACGGTATAAAGAATAGAGCTTTCAGTAGCATGCGAAATCTAATGCATCTTAATTTAAGTAGAAATAATATAAAAGAGATTGAAAATTTTAGTTTCTACAGTAGTTCCATGATGACATTAGACCTGTCACAAAATAAGATCCACCACTTGAATTTTCTACAAAACTGTTTATTCAATTTAACTGAATTGTATTTAAACGATAATAATATTACTGTTGTCCAAAAGAACATTTTTGCTAATCAATCACAGATAGTAAAACTAGATCTTTCAATGAATGGAATCATATCTATTGAGCCGAACTCGTTACCGCTGAACAACCTCCAATATCTCAACATTGAAGGTAATAATCTAAACGGTGTCATAAAGAAAAATATATTCAGTCCAGCAAAATATCTAAAGTTTTTGGATTTAAGTAATTTTAATTTATCGAAGATTGATGATTCTGCATTTATTAATTTAAATGTATTGGCGCGATTAAATCTTTCTAATAATCACATAGAAAGCATAGCAGCAAACAATTTTAAGGGAGTTAACAATATGTTCAGTCTTGATATATCGCAAAATAACTTAACATATTTCTCATTCAATAACAGCGAGTCAACGAATAATTTAACAGCTTTATATTTAAACAACAATCGTCTCTCAAACATCAGTAAACTTTTTCTAAACACATCTAAGTTAATTTACTTGGAATTGTCTAATAACATCATAAGTAACACTACATTTATTGATTCCCATCTATTTCCTAACCTAAAAGTGCTACATCTTGGAAACAATACAATTAAAGAATTCAATAATCCAAAAACTGATTCTCTGTCTACACTAATTGACCTAGATGTGTCTTCCAATGAACTTAACGATATAAACTTAAGTTATTTCAAAGAACTGATGTCTGCAAATCTTGGCAATAATAAACTAGCTCATATTAACATTACGTCGTTTAGGAATAATGAATATTTGCAATCACTAGATGTAAGTAGGAACAACATCACTGACTTACCACCGGGCACATTTCTGTTTATGAAAAATTTGAAATTACTAAACATATCTTCTAATTACTTGACAAAACTTCGTTTTGGGAGTCTAAAAGGACTTCATAAGACAGAAGTGCTAGACTTATCAAAAAATTATATATCTGTACTAGACGTTGATGTTTTCCATGAATGTGATGATCTAAAAACTTTGATAATAGATTACAATCGTATTAAAACATTGGATGTTGAAAGATTGATACTTATTTCAGTGAGGAAATTGAGAACTTTGAGTATAGGTGGTAATCCTATAGCTTGTAAGGAAATTGTTCATAATATTAAGGCTAATAATGTAAGTTCGTATACTGTTAGAGAAGTAGAAGTTACTTCTATTGATAAAATATACCACGAGGATAATGTACACGGTATTAAGTGTGGAGACGATGGTATTGATGACAAGAGCAATGCTAGTGAATCTAAAGCCAAAAATTCGACTGAGAACACTCCATCAGCTGCATCACCACCTTTATCTACTACAGCAGTCTTAGTTTGGTGTTCCGCATTAACATTATTGATCATAGGAGTTGGGCTATTGATTTATATAAAAGTGTTCAGACAACAAAATTACGCCATTAGTAATAATATGACGATGCAAATGAGAAATTCTATTGTCTCTGAAAACTCTGATTTTCAAAGGGACCTTTTAAGTTAGACACTAGAGTTATAAATCAGTTTTTAATGCTTTGTTGACTGTGTCGTTGGTCAAATGACTACTAAGCAAGCTGCTGACGTAGACAAGAATTGTGTCCATTTTATGACAGAAGGCTCACCCTCCATTACATGGGATTCATATTTGGCGAAAACTTAACCATTTAAGAAATAAAAGACGTGTTAGTAATGGTATTTTTTGTTTCACATAAAATTAATAAATAATTTGAAAGAATGTTATAGGTATTTTAAAAGTAAGGAACTGTGTATACGTTGCCTTCATTTGACGAACGCATGCATTATTCAAAATAGATAGGCTTGAATAGGATTTAACGTTGCCGTTCGATAAAAAGTTTTCGATTCTAAGCAAGATGCAAGCATTTGTCATTTGTAGGCCGCCTTGTTTGTGAAGGATGCTTGCATTCGTCAAAAAACGCAACGTGGTCAGTTGCTCTAATTAAAGTTGTGTATGAAAGTTGTTTTGTTTTTACTCGACTGTATCAGGAGTATTGTTTTTTGTTTTTGTATTGTATAGATTTGTGTAATACAATGTTAATAAAGTACCATTTATAGCAATAAAGTATTAAGTCTTCTCAGAGTATGATATTCCTTTATTTAAATAGAGTTATGAACAGATAATAATGACTAAAAAGATCAAGTACTTTAATTGGGTGTAACTCGTAAATGCTTATGTATTATTTTTTATATGTCACTTATTTTAGTTCGATTTGGAATATAATAATACGACTATACAAATTCAATATGCAAATAATATGAAGTATCATAATAATATTCTCTTTTATAACATTTTATACGATTGTTTATAGCAAAATACGGTATGAAACGTATTTTGCGGGCACATAAAACATAAATGGTGTTTTCTTTTTATCAATACAAACCCGGCTGTCGTTGCAGACAGCCTCATAAAATGGACTCGCCACATAGATACGTAGTGACGAGAAGAGACAACGTAAGAAATAAACAAAAAGTATTCAGGTATTTAACATTTTGTCTATCGATATATGAAACAATAAAAAACACATTGTGAATCGCGGAGATCTGCGTTCCACCAGTTCACAAGGTTAATACAAATTGTGTCTTTTTCTAAGTAGACTAGGTAAGTTCAACGAATGGATCTATGTCTTCTTTATATGTCCCAAAACTGCGACCAATCAAAAGACGGGTCGTTGCATCCATTAAAATATCTGCTATTCATATCAATTTGCTCGCAAAATGCAGAGATTAAAACAAATTCTAATCCCCTCCCAAGTTACTATTTTTCTGCTTTGGGATCTTATTGGTTAATGATGATATTTTTATAATTTTAATGATTAGGACAATTTAGGATTAGGAAAACGGTGGAAGCGAATGGAGGAGAGGATTGGAAATTGGATATATGACAAGTGTTGTTTCATATCAGAATTCTATGGAGCCGTGGTATCACTCCGGTCGAAACATTCGTGTGTAAGCGTGGCTCTCCCATAGATACTTGAAACCAGTCCACCCGTTTTCCACCAGTCATGTCAGACATGGTGTTACATTCTACAGGTACCTATATCATTTTAGAATTTGTGACAAATGAATAACCCTTCGACCGTTCCAGTACATCATTTGGACCCAACATCATTGTCACGGAACCCATACGACGACACGTGTTCAGACGACGTCTATTTTACGATGTAACCCTAAAAATGTTATTTACCGTCGGGAAGGAGCGATTTTCAGCTTCCCCTCTTTCAGACTTCAGGAAGTACTTCAATATTCGATTATATTGAGGACGAAGTTATTATTTAGATATTTATTTTGTCACGTTTGCTTCTGTTGTGGAAATTATTGACGCGGAAATAATGTGTTTTTGATTAAAGGACTATAATGTTATTGGATTATAGGTTTTTTATTGTGTAGCATAGGAAGTAAGGACGGTACACACTTTTATATTGTTGAAACATTTTCCACATCTAAAAAAGTGTCTTTAGCCAAACGCCACTTGTCTACAGAGAGAGTAGAAAATTAAATGTATGGAGATGACACTGATAAGTGTCAAAATTTACGTCAATTTCATATAATTTGGTTTTCTATTCTACATGTAGACAAGCGCAAGATGGCATTTGGCTACAGCTGCTGGTTCGATACTTGAATCCAAAATAGTAAGTTTTTATTGTTAATTATTTTTTCTGTTTGAAAATAATTTATTTTGCATTTTATTCCATTAGGACTATGAAGTACCTAGGTATAATACCAACACCCTTTTGGAAAAACCAAATTGGCATTTTATGTAGGTAGATACTAATAAAAAATGAGTATTGTAAATTTGAACCTTCAGCCTACGCCTTCAAAAATACCAGTGTTGATAGGTATCTCGAAGAAAATATTCACAGAGCCAATGAACCGAATTACCTGAAAATATAAACATTTTTGCTCTGGAATATCAAGACCAACATTAAGGCTGTCTTAATCACAGAAACACCGAAACATGCCTCCGAAATTCAACTTAATACTTTTCGCCTGACAAGGGTGGCAGGAGCCAATGTAACTTGATCTCCCCTCCCTTTCTTCGCCTGAAGGATATATAGGAAAATGGGGTGCGGGAGAGGCTGTTCTGGGACCAGGATTTATTGGTTGAAAGGTTACGTAAAGGGGTTCTGAATGATAATAATCTTTTGCTGTTATATTTCACACCTTATAATGCTGTAGTATAAGCAGTATTGTTTCCTAAAAGTTATTATTTTGAGCATTTGTGAGATACTGTTTGTCACTGTTGAATGGAGTGATGGAAATTGTTTTAGTTGCTATCTCTTGTTGAAGATGAGACTTTTTTAGTTGGTTCACCTTTTAAGAGAAAGCTTTTTGTATAATTTTTCGAAGATCAGTTACGTTTTTAATATTTTCACTGGAAAAATTGTCATAACAGATAGTGGACAAACAGCCGAGTACTAGGTTTACATTCAATACTCGATTTGTGGTTTTGTGTCTTATTATTTTGTTATAGGCAGAGCCCTATTGACAAAGGGACTAATAACATAACTAGTATACATTTTAATCATTGTAACAGTAACCTTGTCGTACTATTTCATGGTACTATTCTAAAATCTAAATTGAAATATCAAATGTGTGTTGTGCAAAATGGAAATTCTTACGTAAAACAACCAGCATGAAACAGATTTTTTTTTACATTTTTTTTTGTTTTATATAAAACGTTGCCCCACACTAGGATTTTCTCCTGTGTCATGGGTGCGTTTACAAACATACCAGTTCACAGACACAATGACACCCAGACCCGGAACAACAGTTTGTGGATCACACAAAGTGTTGTTCCGTGCGGGAATCGAATCCGCGACACGTTGCACGGCAGCCAGTTGCCCAGCCACCGCACCAACCGTGCAGTCAAATTTTTCCAATAAGTATGTAATATGTGACTACCTCGTTGGCCGAGTGGTCATAAGTGCCGGGCAATGTATAACTGGGTTTTTAAAAATAATCTCAGTAGAAGTCTGGAACTGTGCCCGGTATATGGCAATAGGCTCACCCCCTATTACATGGGACTGATAACATAAATAGTGAAAAGTGAGTGATACATTGTACAGCGGCATTCAGTGCTGTAATACCTACCCCTTCTGCTCTGCCTACCCCTTCGGGGATAAAAGGCATGATGTTATTTAATGTGTATTATATAGTTTAAGTTAGAGGGATTAAGGATAGAGGGATATAAAAAATAAAACGACAGGTGGAGTGCCACAAACGTGTTTACTGACAAACCGTGGATCATTGTCCGTAAGTATATTATATACAGCGAGCTAAGCATTCTGCTCTCTCAGCTACCTACTGGTTATATCGAGATTACTACTAAATTATGTCTTATTACATGCAATTAAAGAACATTTTTAAATGTCATTAAAGACTTAAGACATTTATATTTTACAAAAATAGTTATAATTACTCAATTTTTGGTTGAACTTCATTAATAAAGAATTATGGCAACATCTTCACAAACTTTTTTATACCGAATTGCATTAGCAGTAAATAATAAAATATTCTATACCTGATAGAAATGTCTCGATATAATTTCACAGTAGGTAACTGTAATTAGTTTTAATGACATTTGTACAAATCTCATAGTTTAAGACCAATAGATAGATATAATTCGGTACAATTAGTATTTCTCACACTGATTCGCTTTCCACAATTAATTAAAAAAAACACAAAAGTAAAAATTTCCGGCGGAAAAATACGACTTCGGAAAATATTCGTGTTAAAATACGACTATGGAAATCAGAGAAGTCTAACAACAAAAAATTTTCCACCGGAAATTTTTTCACGAAATTAATTGAATCACCTGTGTATATCCACCTAAATGTACAGTTTAATTTCACAAAAAAACTGCTGTTTTCTTTTGTACGTCAAAAACTAAAATTCCTGTTCTTATTGATATAGGACACTTTGTTTAGCATAAATCCTATCTCACTCAATTAAGGACCGATGCCATTCTAACCACAAAATACCCTTTTAAGAACGAAAAAAAAAAACACATATTTTAAGTAAAAACAAAAAAAGTTTCACAGAAGTAAGTGAAAACTAAGAGTAAAATTAACACAAAAAGCATCACAAAAATTTTGTTATTCGCCTACTACCTATTTACCTTATCTAAAAACAAACTTAACTCGTTAAAAAGAAAAAAAAACAACAAATTTTAATCTAGAAATAATCACATTTACCCAAGGATCCCAAACTACGTATACTAAACAACACCTTAATTTTGGAATTCAAAAATAATTTCGAATGCGCTTAGCCTAAAAAAGATTGGCAAAAAATTTTTATTTTTAACGAAAAAATCTTACATTGGTAATGATCACTCGAATCTCGCTTTGGGAAACATTAATTACACATCTTTGTTATCATTCCTATGTTGGGAATTCCCATGTTTTTTAAAACCCATTATTGTATTTTTACACCACTTGAAAAGATAAATTATTGTTACAAAAAAAAAATAGTTTTTTTACAAAATGTGATATTGTTAAAAATAGATCTTAGTTCATTATACAGGGTTAACCAACCACATTAAAGTACTTTGGAAGGGGTTAAAAGCATCTTTTAATTACTTAGTCTTATCGTATCCATGTCGATACGCATAGGAATTCCCATAGGATACATTAATTTAAAACAATGTTAGTGCAGTGATGTTAATTTCACGTAATACAAGCTTCATACATAGGATAAGCCACAAAAATCCCAATGTGACTAAATTTATAATATGAAAACTACCTATCTACTAATAAAACTAAAATTACAATTATATTTAAAACAGAAAACTTGCGATGTACAAGTAAAACATTTTTTAACTACAGATTTGTATGTTACGTTTTACGAAATGTCAGAAAAATTCGTCGCAGTTATAAAACATTATAATAGAAATGTTGATATACGACTAGTCTTCATACATCAGTTTTACATAGATACATGAAGAAAATACTTGAATATTATGTATAACAGCCAAGTTTAATATGATTCTAATGAACAGCCAGCGTTACAAGAATGGTGTTGATATATTTGGCTGGTCAAACCGGTGACAGCCTGAGCCTTAAGCCAAAAGCCACTTTAGCTCTTGTCTACAGAGAGAGTAGAAAACTAAACGTATGGGGATGACGATGACTAGTGTCAAAATTTACGTCCATCCCTTATAATTTGGTTATCTATTCTACATGTAGACAAGCGCTAAGTGGCATTTGGCTACAGCTGCTGAACTTACACTAGCACATGAAGGAATTCTGATAATGTTCTTTGAAAGAATTTCGATTTTATAGCATGCAAAAGACTCCTAGAAATTCCTTAAAATAAATCGATCATAAATATGTCAGAATATGGTAGCTTCATGTGTCAGTGTGTGCATTCTACAACAGTCACTGTAGCTTGTCCATTACTCCAATCTAACTCAAAAATATCATGTTGTCTACAATTTATAACACATAAACCATCGTTTACTACAACCGAAAATAGCATTTATTTTTAGGGCTTTTAAAATACATTTCTGAAGGTCATATTGCTTATTAAAAAAAATGCTAAATGCAAGAAATACGTAAGATTACAAAACATAATACTTCGAAGAAATGCGTTTAACGACTGCTATTAATAGATGCATGGATATGTTTATAGAATAGCGAGCAATTTAATAAAGCTCACGGTTTTTTAATAGTGCGTTTTATTCGTAGCCCTTTTTATTATATTAAAAATTACATTATTTACTCGGTCTCAAATAAAAATGTAGCTAATTATCTATTATTTATAATTATAAAAGTGTTCGTGTACATATGAAAAAAATGTGAAGTGCGTTCCGTGTCTCATTTGTGTATAATAGTAGAATATTATGCTGTTTAGTTGCTAAACAATGAAATTGAAATCTCAATAATTAAGATTGCAATCAAAATTATTATTTTCATTCATTCTAAAAATAAAATAATCACATTTTGATATGGTCACAATGATACTTATTCTGGGTTAGTATTTTCAAAATCTTTAACTTAAATATCTAAAATTTGTTAGTCATACATATTTTTAAAGAAAAACCTGTTTAAACATAAATTGGTTACTTGAAAAGGCACATATTTGGACATGACAATAAAGGAACTTGGTTGGATATGATCAATTCGTGTCTATCTATAATCTATTTTAATATCGGGATAAAAATATTGGCTTCGTCGATTGCGTGTAGCGTGCTATTATTTATTTAAAAATACTATAGGAAAATTTAGAATCGGTTACCTTTCGCATAAGCTCATCCAGCTTCTTTCACTTATAACCCAAAATAATCTTTCCGAATTGAAAATTTCTATTGAGACTACAAACATTACATTTGTGTGACATATAAGAAAGTTATGTACATTTTTATATCTTTTTATACAATGATAACTACACCAATATAAGCCTAGGCACTTACGGCAAATATGTTTTGGCATATTCATTAAATTTATATAATTTTACCACAAAACACGTATCTTTACTTAGGTATAGTAACATGTTGGATAAACCTGTACAATAGCTATTAACTAAAAGGAACGATGCCCACATTTTTAGTTAGAACAAAAACGTGATTCTTATAAGCTATTGTTATCATACTACACCGACTTATATCTAATTTAGACATTGACAAAGTTTCCTGGCACGCTGTTCGATCTTCAACGTTTGAAAAATACGTTCAAACCCAAGATCAAACTACAAAATAAATATAAAAAAATTCCGGAAAGAAAAGTCACACTGATTTCCATAGTCGTATTTACGTTTGACGGAAAGTTCGTAAATAATTTTATAAAATTTCGATCCGGATTTTTTTATATATTTTTTACAAACGCCAACCACGAACGGTCGTCGTTCGCTATTTCAAATTTATTTTGAATTCTCGCCACGAATTGACTCGAGAATTCTTCGTATAAAATTAGATTTTTTTTTAAATTCAAACTTTGAAGCGAGAGTATCTGATTAAGTAGGACGTGAAACGTGATAAAAGTGAGAGATAAAAACTCGTCTATTTTTCTTTTTTATTGTCACAAGGGATTTAAATTTGGTTCATTGCGAAGCACAATTACTATGCTAATTTATTTTTTACTTATATATTGACTTGTATGTCACAGCACGCTTTGATTAACACATACTTGTGTCACATACGATACATTTAAATCGATTGGAAATTGAGTTTTCCGTATTCGGATTATTATTTTCCAATTAATTTAAATTATTGAGCGTATGTCTCACTAAAAGAAAGTGCTTGGTCTTAATTAAGTGTGCCCAGGGCACGAAATTATCGAGCTCTGACCCGATATGTCAAACTCGAGGTAACCTCAATCGCACAAGTTAAAACTAACAAAAAAAAACTTAGTAAATTCTAAAGTATAAGTAAATTAAAACTAAAAAATGTACTTCCGCCTTGTGAAATAAGGGCTGACTAATTGGATATTGACTGTGAAAATACTGTTGTTTGAAAATAATTGTTATTTGCTCCTACGACTATCGTTGGTACAAGTGAACCGATACGGTTACGGAATAGTTCCACTAAAACTATGTTTACATTCATCCTAACAGCTCATACGTTTAGTATAAGTACACTAGACTAGTTCTTAGGGCATGCTATAATGCTACATTAACACTCGCGCGAGCAGACACAATGTCGAGATACATTGCAGTCTTATAATACGAGAAGGACTACTCTTTTAGAATAACGACAATGTACCTCGACTACGTCTCGGTTCGCGAGAGTGTAAATGCAGCATTAAAATTTCACAAATTGGTCTTAAAAATAAACAAAGTACCATCAAACAACAGATTGCAATGATAATGACTAGATCAAAGGGAATTTATTGTATAAAACAAAAACCGATCGACCTTTTTAAGTAAATGATTGTGCTGTATCATAATAATAATAATGTAACTTTTCTAATATTTGTAAAAAATTACAATATTGTAATAATAATACCTATGTATGTAGCTTCTCTTTTTAACCTATTAATGTTACATAACACTGTCTCGCTCTGTCCTGAATAATAAAAATTATTATTTCCAGTACAGAATGTTTATCTATGTGTTCAGCAGTCAATATCCAACGCCTTTAGGTATCGCTCCATCATCATTTAAGACCAGACATGATTATTCTGTAAAGGTACAGATGCTAACTTATCAAGATTGTAAATACATTTTCAACTATAATGCTTTAAAATACAATCGAGAATCGATTGAAGTAATCTTGATATGCTGGCATCTGTACTGGTACCTAAGACTGATATTTTTAGATAAATCTAACTAGAGAATATAATTGTTTTATGCTTTGTTTATTAAGTTCCTGATAACAGAAATTTAATTTATATATTGGAAAGAAATACTGGTTTTAAAACAAAACAGAATTTTTTGCTATTTCAGTTGTATACTAAGAAGATTAACTGAAGTTACTTTGAAGTTTGTTTAAAATAAATTTGGACTATATTCATACATATTAAATCACAAAATTAGTCTGCAGGCGACTTTGATGCTAAATATCTGTAATCAATTTCTAATGGTCTCAAGATTTCAAATCAAATCAGTAATACAAAAATCAAACCTAGGTCAGATGGAACGTCAAAAGACTAAAACCGTGTACCGAAATGTTTGACCTTGTGAATAAAATTGACAAGACTACCAAAACATGTAAAAACAAAATAAATTCGACGAATTTAGTAAAAACTAAACGAAACTTAAAATCCCTGTATGCCTTCAAGTCATAGCTAATACACGTCCAATTATCAAAAACTATTTCAATACAAAAGTTATAGACAAGGGTCACAAGAATATCATGTCTGGCCTGGTAAATATGGTGTTACCAAAAGTAACTGTAGATGGCGCGAGCCACCATAAATTGTAAATAAGTTGAGGCTATAAAGAAAATGTGTAGAATCAGGTATTTGAGGTTATCTTGTCTTACTACCCTAGTGAGGTGGGGGCCGCTGCCTTTGGTAGGGAACCTGCCTGTGCGGTAAAATTCTTCTAGCATCTGGTCTTTTTCTACAAACCTGTCGTACAGCCATTGGGTCATGCCTTCCGTGTCTGCTGGTACCTGTTAAAGAGGTGGAGATGTTGGTTAAAGACACTGCAAAAATGGAGTTCTAGTCTATATAAATAAAATGAATTTCCGATCGTTAGTCTCGCTTGAACTCGAGAACGGCTCAAGCGAATTGGCTAAGTTTAGTCTTGAGTAACATCTTCGTGAAAGTCCAGGGAAGGTTTAAATAGTGAGAAAAAATTTTTTAGGCGGTATGAAGTTTACCAGATCAGCTGGTGTACGATAAAATCGTATTATTTTTTCCTTTATAATCAGATATTCTACATTCGTGATTACAGTATTTTGAAAATAGAAAGAATACGTCAATAATGCTGATAATACAATCTGCCTAATCCATTTTCAACTAATGTATGAATTTTTGAATGATCTTTTGATATGTTACAAGCTCAGGGCAAAATTGTCATTGTGAACTGGTCATTTTCGTGTCATTAACATAAGGCTTTAAAAATAGCCTTTTCAGTGTAATCAAAAGGTTCTTTATGGTCCCAAGTAATGGCACATTTCGGGGTCGCCAAAAAGTCTTTTTATGCTAATTTTTGAAAATAGTTCGTCGTCGAATTTCGGTGTGAAGTAGAGCGTGATGATTAATTTGAAAAAGAAAAAGGTTTTATCGTTTCGGATTTCTTTTGAGCTAATTTTGGATGTCACGACATCGAGATGAAATATGTAGGGCTTCCCTTTTATAAAACATATTTCTTGTTAATACGATGTCGTAGTGCCCGAAGGGGCTGGTAAAGAAATACTACATAGACATTCCTATTTTTAACATATATAAATGATTTGCCATATTTATTTCAAAACGAACCACATATTGTATTGTTTGCTGATGACACATCATTGGTTTTTAAAATAAATAGACGAACAAATAATTATGACGACGTAAATAATGCTCTGATGAAGGTTCAACATTGGTTTACAATAAATAACTTAGTGCTAAACGATAAGAAAACGAAATGTATTAGATTTGTTCTGCCAAATGTTGGAAGTAAGGAATGTGACATATTATTAAACAGTCGGAAATTAGAATTTGTAAAAGAGACTACATTTCTGGGAATTACTGTAGATGACAAATTGCAATGGGGTCCTCATATTACATCTCTAGCGGGACGATTAAGCTCTGCAGCTTATGCTGTCTGGAAGATCCGACAGTTAACCGACATAGACACGGCAAGACTAGTGTACTTCAGTTACTTCCATAGCATCATGTCGTATGGCATTTTGCTGTGGGGACACGCTGCGGACACTGAGTCTATCTTTATCTTACAAAAGCGCGCCGTCAGAGCTATCTACAACCTGGGTCGTCGCGAATCTCTCAGAGAAAAGTTTAAGGAGATCAACATTATGACCGTTCCATGTCAATTTATTTATGAAAACATTATGTATGTTAGGAAGAACCTACAGTTGTTTGGTAAAGTGTCTGACAGACACCACTATCAAACTAGACATAGGGATAGACTAAGTCAGCCACTATTTAGATTGACAAAAGTACAAAAGTCCTTTATGGGATTCTGTGTTAAATGCTATAATAAAATTCCGGAGGAAATACAACATTTAAATGAGTCAAAATTTAAATTATATATTAAAAAAACGTTATGCGGAAAAGCATACTACAAACTTAATGATTACATAGAGGATAAAAATGCTTGGAGGCATGCTGGTCCGGCTCCACAGGATAGCGAAAAACATTGATGTTCCAATGAGTTCCAATCATGTCAAATACAGCCATTTTGTTCAAATGTACACACTGTAAAACTTTATATAGGTAACTATTGTAAATGTGAGAGCCCTGTAACTACCTAAATTAAATTAGACTAGTAGAATGCATGTGTGTCAGCCTGGAGTTGTCATGCTCACTCAAAAGTCTCATTGGCAGTGGCACGGGCAGTGGATCGCTCGATTCCCTATAACATGGTCGAGTTGGGCGGTGCTGGTGTACGTGTCATGTTCGTGAACGGGCGCTGTCAAATGGGACTGGTCAGCTCCAGACTGTATTAAATTTGTTGTCCTCAAGGTTATTTTCTTTTTCCGTCTCCTTGACCAAATATTGGTATTACATTGTTCTCACATTATTGAACTCAACGGAAGAATGTAACCAAAAATTGTATTGTGAACATGATTGAAAAAGAGTAACCTATGGAGTTTCTTGCTCGTTCTTCTCCATAGGAATCTACACTTTGGAACGAGCAAATAGCTTCACTAGAGGACTGAC